CGACGTCCCCGACCCTCCCCCGGTCCCGGTCGGGGGCGACAAAGCGAGTGGACCGACGGCCCGACCGGCCCCCGGCCCCCCGGGGGGGCCCCTGTGAGCTACAGGGAGCTTTGGAAGGTTGGGCGGGCCTGTCGTGAGGGTTCCCTGATTTGGTTCACATTCTGCTGTAGATGTGACATTCACCGGGCGTTTTCTGCTGCAGGCGGTGATCTGTCTGCACGGTAGGAAGTTGGGAAGAGTCTGTGGAGGCATCTGGCTGGGTCCCGAGCTCCCGAGGACGGCAGCCTGTGCCTGCCCGGCCGCGTGGGCCAGGGAGACCCTGGTCTGGACACTCAGCCCCCTGCTTACTCTGGGCAGCCGTCATGTTTTTATCCTGTGTTCACTCTTATTGTAAGATTTCTCCTACCTATGCAAATAACAAGAATGAGATTCCTCGTAGCTCCCCGGCCAAGGGACTGTCCCGTCCTGCCTCCCGCAGGCCCTCCCGGACCTGCCGTCCTCGGCCTGGGGCTGCCCTGGGGCCCCAGTCAGACTGGTGACCCTGCGCTTGTGGGCACCGCCCTAACTCAGATCAGAGGCATTTTCACCCAGCTCATTCTTGGCTTCTTTTTTTTTCCCCCTTAACTCGTTGTGACGGCCCATTTTCATTCCAATTCAGGGAGAGGGACGTGGACGCCCAGCCTTTGTGCTATGACATCTGTTTCTAGAAATCGCAGACTCCCACCGACCCCGCCCCTCGCCCATCCAACTGCGAGGCCGGTGGTCTCTCCTCTGGCCGCCCGCCCTCCCGGGCCTGGCGCTGGTCCGACCCTCCGTTCTGGGGGGCCTGGGGTTCTCAGGGAGCGGAGTGTCGTCCCCGCTCACACTCAGCAGAAGAGACGAGAGACCTGGCCCCTGGTCTTCGTGCTGGTTGCATTTTCCTGGCCACCCTAGCAGGTCTCTCTCCGAAGCCAGGTTAAGCTGGTGTTTCCTCAGGGCTAGAAGGACACTGGTCCACGAGCTGTGACCTCTGGACCCACGCTCGGCAGACGCAGGGCGGTGGCCCCGGTGCGGGGCGGGGTCGAGCCAGGACATGAACGGCGGCTGTCTGATCTTCAGCTCCGGCCCTCCTGCATGACCCGACAGTGACCTGAGTGATGACCTGGAGACGCACATGCAGGTCCATGTGGCACCTTCACGGTGGTGGGGGTGACGCCTGCAGGTGCTTGCTCCGGGTGCTCAGTCCAGCCGCTCCCCTGAGGCACGCACGTCACCAGGTGCCCGTCTGTGACCTGGTTTATGGACAGCGCTGTGTGTGCCGTTTCTCCGCCCAGCTCTCCCCGCCAGGCACGGCTTTAGGCTGAGTCACTGAGATTCCACCTCGGCCAGGACCCCAGTGTCCGCTGTCCGCATCACTTCTCACCCTGCTTCCCCTGGGGTGCAGTTGAAACGGGAAGGAAGTCCAGGGCCGTGCCTGCCCTCAGCCCTGCACCCTGCAGAACCCATAGGTCTCTGTGCTCAAGTGTCACCTCAGCGCCTTCAGAAAAGCTGGAGCCACTGACGGTGCAGCACACCCAGCGCACTGGGCCCCTGCGGAGCGAGCGGCTCCAGGCCCCATGGCCGCTGGGACTCAGCGCCCCCCGGGGCCCACACGGTGCGGGTCAGGCCCTTGCTTGGAATGCAGTTTCATGGTTGGGGAAACGGGGACAGAGGAGGGTGGGGGGGAGGTGCTGACGGCAGGCCTCTTGCCTGTGGGGTGCCCTCTCTCCCGGTGACCGGGGACTTCGGCAGCGGTTTGGGGCTGTGGGGGGATGGCTGACTGAGCGGCGCAGTCTCCCATCAGAGGCCGGGCTCTGTTTTCCCGGCCATCCCGATGCGTGGAGGTCCGTGCTTCCAGACCTGGTCCAGTGTTCTCAGGCCCTGCCCTGCGTTCACTGGCACCTTCCGGGCCCAGAGATGCTGCACTTCCGGAAGGCCCGAGGCCTTCCACCGAGTTCCGTTTTAGATTTCAGCAGCTCCCGACTCAGACGCTCTGTTTGCTAGGACTTTGGTACCCAGCGCCCTGGGAGGCGCTCAGCAGAGTTGGCAGGAGCTCCCTCTTGTCTGATGCACGCCGTCCATGCCTGAATCCGGGGGGTTTGTGAGCTGAGCTGAGCTCAGCGTTCAGACGAGGGGTGACGTTAACAGTGAGTCCTCCAGTCGGGTGACGCCGAGGGTGGAGAATCCCATAGCTCTCTGAGGGACCCCATACCCTTTGCATGAAAAGGTGGAGACGAGTCTGGGGCCGAGACGTGTGAGCGTGCTAACTGCTTTTCCTTGGCGTTCACGTCGCGGGGCGCATGCAGAGCTCTGGGGAGTCTCTGGCCCTGACTGTGCCGGGTTGTCTGCTGTGAGATTATTTACTTCTTCAGTCAGATGAGCAGACCCCTTCCAAGAGCCCGGAGCGCCTTTCATCCCTGACTCACCTCGTTTTCTCCCCACCAGTGCTGCACACGCAGGGCCCCGTCGACGGCAGCCTTTACGCCAAGGTGAGGAAGAAGAGCAGCTCGGACCCCGGCGTCCCCGGCGGGCCCCCGGCCGTCCCCGCCGCCAGCAGCCCGGACCACAGCGACCACACCCTGTCCGTCAGCAGTGACTCCGGCCACTCCACGGCCTCGGGGAGGACCGACAGGACCGAGGAGCACCCGGGCCCAGGACCCAAGAGGGGCCTGAGCCCCCAGGAGAAGGCCGAGCTGGACCAGCTGCTCAGCGGCTTTGGCCTGGAGGACTCCGGGAGCCCCCTGCAGGACATGAGCGATGGCCGCAGCAAGTGCGGCGGGACCCGCCACGTGGTGCCGGCCCAGGTGCACGTGAATGGGGACGCTGCCCCCAAGGACCGGGAGACGGACATTCTGGACGACGAGATGCCCGGCCACGATCTGCGCAGCGTGGACAGCACAGGGACGCTGTCCTCCTCGGAGGGCCACGCGTCCGCCCACCTGAGCCCCTTCACCTGCCACCAGAGCAGCCAGAACTCGCTCCTGTCAGATGGGTTTGGCAGCAGCGCCGGCGAGGACCAGCACGGAGCCCCTGCCCCCGACCTGGGCCTGGGCGGGGACCCCCTGTACGAGCGCGAGCGGGCCTTCGGGGGCCGCGAGCCCAGGCCGCTGCAGCCCGTGCT